TAATATATAATATTAATAATACAGAAAGGAAGAGAGCGAAGGAAATACATTATAATACTATATATTTAATATTAAATATGATAAATTACTTTGTTTATTATATTATTTATATATTTAATTAAAATCTATAATATAATATTATTGTATAATTAATTATTAAGAATTATATAATTATGATATTTTATCGATAAAAGACAAGTAAAATTTTTTTAGTTAAAAATAAGATTATTTACATATATTTAACGTTGGTGCTTTTTTCCATGTATATATGCAGATGCAGATTATTTTAAAAGCAGGTTGTATTTTTAAGAGCAGATTTGTAAAGTTATTTTATGGATTTCTTTTTAAAATAGTCAGATAGCATTGAAATAAAATTATTTATTTTTTTATTTTTCAACAGTTATGATGCGTGAATATTTAGAAATAAAGAAATATGAGTCGGTATCAATATTGAAATATTGGAAACATCATTTCAATAAAAAGAATAATACAAACACACATGTTTATTCTCTAAAAATAATTTTCAGGTTTTTCAGGTTTTGTATATTTTAATAAGTATATTAAGAAATATTATTTAACATAAAAAATGAATGATAAATATTTAACATAAACAACTTGTATATATATTTTTTAATCGAACATGCAATTTTCCGTAAATGTCAATAAATAAACGATAGCGGATCTTTCGTAAAAGCTAGTTTAGGAGAAACTATTTTGCTGCAAATTTTTTATCTAGTGCATAATTTTGGGACGCTCAGAAACGTAGGAAGGTCGTATCAGATACCACGGAAGAGATATCCGCACGGTGAATCTGCACTTTGGACCACACCTTACTCTAAGTACATTCTAAGACGGACTTACCTCGTTGGAGATTAAGCTTAAGTCCTCTCGACAAAGTGTCACATTGTCCCGTCCTTATCGTGGCAATTGACTTTGGCGCGTATCGTGTTAGTTGTGCATTTATCGTAAATCGCTGCAAAAAATATTTTCCGAAATCGTATCATCTCCAAGAACTGTTGCTGATCATTTTCATCTTTTCATTTTTTATCGCTTTGATTCTTTTCACTTTTCGTAGTTTGTATTCATTTTTAATGCAAAAATATACCGCAAAATTGCGAATTGCAACGTTATCCTGGGAAATGCGAGCCGAGAGAAGCGCAACGAAAATGAGTTCTTGCAAGATGCATCGTGTCAGGAGGAAACAGGTCGCACGCGTACCGATTTTATGATGAAAGAAGAAGAGAAATGAAAGAGAACGAACGCGAGAGGGAGAAAAAGAAGGAGATGCATTTTTCTTCGTCCTCTTTCCGCGCTACTAATAGAAGTGTCACGAACAGACGGATCTTATAATCCGTTCGTGCTAATTTCAAACCGCATCGAGAACAACCGCAGACACGAAGAGCGATCGAACCACAGTTTTCCCAGATTTGTCGTCTCTTGAAAGCTTTAAACTTTTCAAACCGCTCGTAGAGAACTCGTGACATGGAATTCCTAACAGTCTAGATTAGAACATCTCGACTTTTATCTCGCCATCATGTCAATGGGATCCTCGATCGTTCTTTATTTTTAATTTTTTTATTTCTCTTTAATTCTCTTGTTTCATAATATTTAATGTCTTCGTAATAATTTTTAATGTACGCTATCATTTATAGAAAATTATATTTTTAAAAGTTGATTTTTTATATGTTAAGTACATTTTTTAATATATATTTAAAATTAAAATATACAACTAGAAAATTATTTCTGAAAAATGTGTGTATTATTTTTTTATTAAAAAAATATTCTTAATGTTTATATTAAGAATATTAATATATATTAATAATATATATAATAATTATTTATATATATTCTTTTTAAGTGTTTGCTTTTTTTGAATAAGATGACGACTTAAAACTTTAACAATTTTTATTGAATTCTTGATTTTATTTAATTAAATATTTTATTATTTACAAAGTGTATTTTTAACTTTTAAAATATTTATGATGCATATGTACTCGCATACCTCTTATAATTTGGAGATTTCTTTATTTTTCACGTCTGTAACATTACAAATATTTAAAACGATTAAGGCTAGCCCGTTAAATGTATTATAAAAGACCTTCGTCGGCCAAAGATAATTAAAAAGGTAATGAGTAAGCGAATACCTGTTCGTAGTGAAAAGGAAAACGGTACGCCTTAAACATGGTTCGACAGCCGACCGATAAAATAATGACGCAGATGAAAAATCAATCTTCTCGGAAAGATAGAATTTCTTCGAAATTATATTAAAGGAAGCTAAAACTTTAACTCAAGAGTTTAATAACGCAAATAATTATAGAGAAATGCAACAAATTGCGCGAAGAATTCAAATGTAAAACTAAATATTTAATCTAATACAAAATATATGTTTACTATACATATTTTATTTTATATTTATTCTATATTCCATTTCTATTATTTTTTTATTAAAACGATATTTTCGATATTTATTAGTTTATGAAAATATATTCTTTATATATATGTATATTATTTTTAAAAAGCGTTTGCTTCTTTGTTTAATAACATGATGTGATTTATTCTATTATTTTATTTTATATTTATATTTAAATAAAAATTATTATTCCGTTTAAAAATATTATTATTACATTTAAAATTACTATTATATATAGAAATATTATTAATTATAAAAATGATCATTAAATATATATATTTTAAGTTTATATTTATACTTAAATCACATAAAAATTATAATACTATTAAATATTTTTCAGTTAGACTGTGAATAAGAAAGCTACACATAAATTATTTTAAAAAACTGTGAAATAAAACTCTGAAATATTTTCTCCAGATATATTCAAAAAAATAAATATCTCTATTTCTGAAAATAGTAATATATAATATTTATAATGATAATACACATAATATCTTTAGAAAATGTGTAAGAATGTATGCTTACAATTACACACACACACACACATATATATATATATATATATATATATATATATAAAACTATACAAGAATTGTGTTGTAAAATAAATAAAACTCTGGAAAATTGATTCATCTCAATACTCGTACATGTGCATGTTTACTTGTTACTGTTTAATATTCGATATTTTTTTGTGTTTTTTAAAAAGTAAAACCTTTTAGAATTTATATAAAGTTATGAAATTTCGAAAATTGACAATAAATTGGAAGGAAAATTGCGTGGATCAAATTGAAATGTTTTGCGTAAATTTACCTTGATGGTTTTCTTTAGTTTAATAGCTGTACAAAGTATTTAAACTATTAGAAATTATAGTACCATTAAAAATAAAGTCAAAATTTCTAAATATTTAATTATTCTAATTATTCTAAATATATTTATGAATTTTTGAAAGATATTTTTCTACTTCTGATAAATCCATATATGTATTTATAATTCTTTATTTCGTTTATTCATTTAGCTTAAGCCTTCATGCGGTATCTATATGATGATTATTAGACAACTTGTCGCAAAGTTGATACTCCCTTACGAGAACTTAGTACTTTTCTGAAACATAAAGGAGATTAAGATGTGAGTGGAGTCTTCGTACAAAGCTTTTCCATAATGAGAAACTTCGTTCTCCACGTTTTCCGCGCGATCCGCATTTTCTTATTTCTTCTTTAGCAACTTTTTCTTGCGGATCATGTCCTGCATGCCGACCGCGAAGATTAAAAACTAGCAGAAAACTTATATCAATGTGAATATATATCTCAATGTGATGTCCCAGCAAACGTTTTTCTGAAATAATACTAGCGCAGCTTTGTCGACATATATATTTTTAATTGTTTATTTAATCGTAGGAAACAATTTAATTGTATTTTTGGAAACGAGAAAACGATAAAAAATTAATATTAATCTATTACAAGAAACAGAAAAGTATCAATATAATATTAATTTGTAATAAAAGAAATGAAGAACATATTAATTTAAACTAAATCAATATTAATAAGAATGTGAAGCCAACACAAATTTTAGATAAATATTTATGATATTTTCCGCAAATAAAATCGATTATAATTTTAACAGCATACTAATTTTTTGAAAAATTTAGAGGAGTAAATAAATAAAATAAATATGTGACATTTTCGGATTATTCGAACGCATTTAACTATCGTATGTAGGAAAATGCTCGAGGAAAATATTCAACATCAACATAGTACGTGTATATTTTGCAAGAATTCGCAGAGATCTGGTTATTTGTTTCCCCTGTTACGTTCGCATAGGAAAATATTTGTTTCTCCATGTGATCTAACGGAACAACTTGATTCCTTTTGCGTTACATGGAAAATATTTTTCAAATCCGAGTTCTTCTATATAGCATCGAGGAAAAAAAAATAAAAGCATTGCTTATGATAAATGAGGAAAACCTCGCATCTTTCGCTTACTTGATTTTCATATATCGCATAGAGAGAGAAGTATGCTGTTTGTTTTCAGGACCTGAATTATCATTATTATACATTATATACACAAATTTATTACATTAAAAGAGAATGCGAAACTTTACATATAAGACATATATTGCAAAAATTATAATCACAAAAAATTTCACTTTATTCTTAGATTAAATCACTCAATCCTCAAATCCTTAAATCCTCAATCACTCTAGAATAGAGAATTTTGAAAAAATATTTTTTTTATATTAAAATCTTTAAAATCTTTAATACATAATATTTTGAAAATATCAAAAAGAATATACTTTTTTTAAATATTTTTTTATATTAAAACTTTAAAATATTTAATACATAATATTTTTTGAAAATATTAAATAGAATATACATAAAAATAGATTTGTATAAGTAAAATTTCTTAGAAATTAAATCGAAGTTGTATATATTTATACTTATACTTATTAAAATTAAATCGCGAATTTATAGGAATTAAAAATCTATCCTTAAATTTAAAAACACATGAGCCATATTTATCTCCAACATAAGATTTGTATTTATAAGTTTATTTATCTAACATTTTATATAATATACAAGTGTGATGGTGCAAATGTGGCAACATTTTTTAATTTTTGTTTTTAATATTTGAATTTTATTTAACGAATTTTAATGACAACATATGCGTTATAATTTCTTTTTTATTTTTTTTTGTTTATTAATTACATGTTAATGGTTACTAGTTATAGCAATCACGAACTAATATATTAAATGTATTAACAATTTACGTGGCACAGAAAAACTTGAAAATTATATTATCGCACATGATCACATAGCAGCAGAAAGATTACGAGATCGCGCAATATATAAAATTACTAAATAAGTCTGTCATTGGGACGGGCATCAAGATCTTCGGGGTAATTTTCTATAATTTTGACTGATTCCTTTGTAGAACCTAAACTTTTATTCTTCCTTCGTGGTGGCGTAGGAATTTGTTTCGAGTCCTCCGTTACATTTTCCAAATTTTGAAACAATCTGCTGGGCTTCTCAGGCGCTTCTCCGATAAACTTTGCGCCGTCTTTGCTATTAATCTCAATATCTTTAAAGAATTCAGAGGTTGATCCTAATTCTGACATAACGCCAGATGATTTGGCATCGGGATTCTTCGCTTCTTCATTATTTTTCAGATCGACATCTGTCATGATTTTCTCTTCCCAGGTGCAGAAGGATATTTTTCTTTTCTTCGGTGTCGACGTCGGGTCTCCGAGGATTTGCTCCAAGGACACGGACGATTGATCCGACGTCTGCTCAAGTGTTTTATCGACTAGAATGTCATCGCTAACTGAATTATGTTGATCTGGCATATCTCCGCTGGCTGCATTATGCTTGTCTACGGGTATTATTTTTGGCTCGAGAAGCTTCTCCATGGGCTCTATCTGTTTAAAATCGCCGTTTGTATTTTCTCGCTTCGCAGCTTCGTCGGGTTGATCTTCCTTCTCCAACATGTCCGAAAGCGCCGCCTCCAGCTCGGTGAGGCTCGGCGTCATCGAGCTGAGATTGCTTCCGTCCGCCGCCTCGTCATTCAGAACCTTTAACAAGGTGGAATGATCGTTGTCCAGGATCTGAGCCTTGATCTTCGGCTCCGGACTCGGCGGTGGCGTCTTCGTCCGCTGCTGCTGACAGTCCTTCTTCAATTCGTTCGTCGTATCCTTGGCTAGTTTCTCGTCGAAGAAGTCGATGATCTCCTCGTCGGCCCCCTCGAGCATCTCCCGCGGCAGCGATTCCTCCGATATCGTTCTGATTAGCTTGTTCGTTACGTCGGAATGTGCACGCAGCTCCTTCGACTCGTACGGATCGTCGTAGGGCTCGCTCTCGTTCGACAGACTACGGCCAAAGATCAGCCTCGATTGGTCGGATCGATCGGATTCCCGGATGACGACGCCGTTCCTGCAGGACCCTCCGATCGTATCTGCCAAATGGAACGTCCGCGGTTTAACTAGTCACGTACGCGAATAGTTGGGTACCTTCTACCACTCCGGACGATTATCCGAGACCGACCGGGATAGAATTCAAGAGCGGATAAGTACGTGGGTAAGGGAAGGCGCGCGCGCGATTGCGGTCGGACGTATATTCGGTTTACATGGCCGACGATTTCTTGTAAATAGGGGGAAGAATTTCACTCATCGTCACATTTTTCACAGATCAAGATTCCTATCGAGCTATCGGTTCTTTTTCTTTCCTCTCCAACCTTATGGAACCTCTTGATCGAGAAAATTGCGATAGGATTTTGTAAAGTTAAAATGATCAAAAATATGTATTTATGAATTTAAAAAAAGATAAAATTTAATTTAATTTTTTCTTCAACCTTACAGAACTCTTCGACCGAGAAAATTGCGATAGGATTTTGCAAAGTTAAAAAATGATGAAAAAAACGTATTTATAAATTTGAAAAAAATTTAATTCGATTATTTTATGACGAGGATTTAAAAGAAAAATATTAAATTATAAATTTGTAATTTTTAGAGCATCGATTTTTTTTCAAATCGTTATTTATTATTGTCGATATTTACCTGAAGCCGAGCGATGAAGTTCTTCATTCAAAAAGAATGGCTCCTTGCGAACTGGCGATGTCGCTAACTCGCAAGTCGGTGATACGTGACAGATTTCCGACATTTTGGGAGGCTCGAAATATCTTAAAATGATTTGAAATAAATATATATTACGCATTAAATTACATCCAATGAATCTCACACACAAATTTTGCACATATTGATCACAATACCTATCTCGATCTGTGAGCCAATCATCGGAATATTTTGATTCTCTGTCGGAATCAAACATCGGTGACGGTGCCTTGCCATAAGATTCCGGCTTCTGCAACGGTGAAGTCATATTTCGACGGACACACGAGATTTCGATCTCAGTCATTTCAGTCTCCTTGGTATTTTGCGAACAGTCGACGACATCTATATCCTTGGAAAATTTTTCCTCTGTTTCATCGTTATGGATTCGTGGCGAATACTGGAATTTAAATTCGAGACATTAATGCAAACGTCTTTGGGTAGTAATATTTGAATCAGTTATTGGAAAAAGAAAGCGTGAGTCAACTTTTACGAAGTATTTTCTAATCAAAACGAAGACGATTTTATGAGAAAAATAAATTCTCCAAGCGAGATAATTTAAATCGATTCGAAATTGCGAGAAGAATGAAGATACTTCTCGATTTCTGTGCCTTAAGTCGCCTTTAAAAAGAGGACTAGCAAGCGACTTAATATCGATTTCGACGCAGCTCACTTTATAAACGTACCTCGGCGGACAGACGCCGGTTCGAATCGCAATTACTGATGTCGCTGAGGTCCCAATCCTCCAATTTACTCGGATCGTACTTCATGAATCCGTCGTCAGTGACCTCGTTTTCGCTCGAGCCCAGCTTCCCGAGCACCTGATACGTCGACAGGTGCTCGATGCTACCGCGTCGCGGGATATAATCCTCGAGACGTACGCTGGTTTTCTGTAATCAAGAATAACATGATGCAATTATTGCCTTAATTATCCTTAAACGCAATCATGCGCAAATGATTAAAAAGTGTACACTGAGAAAAATCGCTTGATTGTACCAACAAGACGTATATGCTTGAAGGCATTTTGGTTAAATCAAACAAGAATTTATAGTTATCATGATAAGACTTGATTCTTTATAATTAGAACGTTTAATAGATTTTACTATAAGGATTTGGTTAGTATTTTCTGGTTGAATCTATAAAATTTCTTGTTACATTAATTTTTTTGCTTGCCTCTAGGCGGCGAGCCAATCTTAACTTGTATTCAATATTTGTCATAAAATGTATATAAAGAACTAGTATTAACATTAAATCCAAAGTATATTTTTTTTTCCTACGAGCAGTAGTGCCAGAAAGAGACGCTGGCTCTCTGATTTGAGCTGCATTCTCTTCTTGCATTACTGTTTATCAATTTAATTTCTAACAAACTGAACTTAAAATAATTTATTCAATAATCTGGATTGAATTTATGCAATAATCGTGTTGGAATTCAGAATATTAAACAGACTTTTGAGATTAGATGGCAAAAATTTTAGACGACTTGGTGCTGGAGAGTTTAATATTATTAACCAGAAAATTTGGTAAATTTAACAGGAAGAAATTAATCAGATTCATCTGCTAATTCCTACAAGAATTCTGGTTCGTCCATTTTCTAACTGACATACTGATTGAATCTACCAGAATTCTAATTAATGCAACCAGATTTTTTTCTCAATGCACTGTTTATTAGTTTAATTTCTAACAAACTGAATTTAAAATAATTTATTCAATAATCTGGATCGAATTTATGCAATAATCGTGTTGGAATTCAGAATATTAAACAGACTTTTGAGATTAGATGGAAAAAATTTTAGACGACTTGGTGCTGGGGAGTTTAATATTATTAACCAGAAAATTTGGTAAATTTAACAGGAAGAAATTAATCAGATTCATCTGCTAATTCCTACAAGAATTCTGGTTCGTTCATTTTCCAACAGATATATTGGTTGAATCTACCAGAATTCTAATTAATGCAACCAGATTTTTCTCAGTGTAGAAAAAGAAATTTAAAAAGATTTAGAAGACAGGATTTATCAAAATATTTTTCTGGCGAAATAAAAAGGGAAATATTTTAAGAAATATTACACACTTTGAGTTCAATATTTTGTGGAAAAATCGACTCTTTCTGTAATAACTCATTCGTAAAAAGAAACTCTAAAAGAATCGTACGTTTCTTTACGAATATCTTGACATTTCAGAATTTCTGCGTTTGATCAATGAAATAAAATGACGGAGAATTATTATACTGAACTACCTCCGAGAAAGGCGACAGGAAAGATTCGGCCGGAAGCGAGCCGGTGCTGCTTCTGACGGGTCTCCTCGACTTCATTTTCTCCCCCGCGCCTCTATCGTCCCTCGCCGTACTTTTCGCAGGATGCCTAGACACGTCCAACTCATCGTAATTCGGCAAGCTAACAGTGCTGTAGTTCTTCGTCCTTGTATTTGCTTCCGGTCTGTCGTCGTCCCTCGAGGGATCCCTGATCCGCTGCTCGAGCTCCTTCGACTTCCGTCTGTCCTGGCGATTAGGGGTCGAAGAGTCCTTGATCGACTGACTCCCGGCGAATCTCTCGTATTCTTCGTTCTCGAGAACTTTCCGGTGATGGTGGCCCGGCTCCGAAGTCCTCCAAGTTTTCTTGTCGGCGAATGTTCTTCTGCCGGAAACCATCTCGCTGGATATTATCCTTCCGGTGCCGTTAACCTATCGAGAGAAGTCATTATTTTCATTATCCAAGTCTCGAAGAAAACGAGAAATTCGGAATTAACATACTTCTAAGAGCATATCTATATTTATCGATTTTTATTTTTATAGAGATTGAATGCAAGCCATGAATTAATCAATGATTTTCAGTATATTAAGTTTATAAAATAAAAAGTTTTTCTCTCTGTTACAGTATATATAATGTTTTTCTTTTTAATATTCTACTAATTTTGAAAAATAAGTAGATAAAATACAATCTAGATAAAATGAATATGTAATAATGATTATTTATAATATAGTTACATTTACATAGCGTGTTTTATTTTTAACATGATGTATGACCTAAGAAATTATAATATTAAATTCGTCTTTTTAAATTATAAAAGTTACGTCTATCAACAAAATATTCAAAAAATTTTACAAATTTTATGGAATATCTTTCATAATTATGTCATCTTTTTATAGATTTTTTATTATTTATTATTTATTATTTATTACTTATTATTTATCATTTATTATTTATTGCTTATTACTTATTACTTATTGCTTATTACTTATTACTTATTACTTATTACTTATTACTTATTACTTATTACTTATTACTTATTACTTATTACTTATTACTTATTACTTATTACTTATTACTTATTACTTATTACTTATTATTTATTACTTATTACTTATTACTTATTACTTATTACTTATTACTTATTACTTATTACTTATTACTTATTACTTATTATTTATTACTTATTATTTATCATTTATTATTTATTATTTATCATTTATCATTTATTATTTATCATTTATCATTTATTATTTATCATTCATCATTTATTATTTATCATTCATCATTTATTATTTATTATTTATCATTTATCGTTTATTATTTATTATTTATTACTTATTACTTATTACTTATTATCTTTTTAAATTATAAAAGTTACATCTATCAACAAAATATTTAAAAAATTTTACAAATTTTATGGAATATCTTTCATAATTATGTCATCTTTTTATAGATTTTTTATTATTTATTATTTATTATTTATTACTTATTATTTATCATTAATTATTTATTGCTTATTACTTATTACTTATTATTTATCATTTATTATTTATTATTTATTATTAATTATTTATTATTTATCATTTATCATTTATTATTTATCATTCATCATTTATTATTTATCATTCATCATTTATTATTTATTATTTATCATTTATCGTTTATTATTTATTATTTATTATTTATTAGTTATTACTTATTATTTATTATTTATTAAATAAAAATATTTATTATTTATTAAATAAAAAATAAAATACAGATTGCAAGCAGCATGCAGGATTTAAAGACTTGAAAGTTACTATCAGCTGCAGCATGAGCTATTATTCACCTTATGCTCGTAGATCTCCTTCGTCCTTCGTCCTTCATGCTTCGGATCTTCCGGACAGATGTTCCCGATTCCTCGCGTCTGGACGTCACCATTTCCACGGTCATCGTCATTCGTCTTTGGCGGACTGACCGACAAATATAACGGTTCCTCGCTTGTATCACCGTGTCTTAAATTGTTGGTTACGCTCTCAGGAATTTCGTCCGGTTTCGGCGGCAAGGGTCTGCCCTTGTTTCTCTTTTTTCGCCTCGGAGGTGGCACGGGAATGATGTCCTTCAGGTTGGAGCCTACGGTAGCAACGGCAAACATATTTATCCGGGATAAACATGTAGGGGAGCGTGTACCTGGCGCACAGTTACCAACACAAAGATGCTTGTAGCTACAAGCATGCAGATTGAACGACTTTAACGACTTTAATAATATCTAACAAAATCGGTGCGCCATTATTTGCGCCATTTTGTCGCGGCATTAACGCGACTCGTTAAAGATCTATGTAGAGTACAGCAATAAATTATACGGGCTTATAATACGCTTGGACAAAAGATGGAGGGAAAAGAGGGCAGAGACGGTTAAATTTGCGAGAAGCAGGCTTGCTTGCTCGTGGCATACGTCCCGGTTACGGCTTCATAAGCTGCGGTAGTTGAAATTGCGTTTCATGCAAGACGATAGAAAGTTAGCCGCGAATATATTCGACTGGCCGAATAGGATTTACGCATGAAATCGCGAAATAATTTTTTTACATTCGATTTCATCGCGCGTGTATCTTTTATCTTTTTTTTTTTTTGTTAAAGAGTTTATATTCCCGAAAAAAATTTGGAAGACCTGGAATTCTTCCGGGAAAATTTTTATTTTAGCCTAAAATATCAAGGAATCTCATGGAATTTTATTGAAAGAATTTTATTCAAAGAATTTTTAAAAAATTCTTTCTTTGATAATTTTTTATATTGTAAGTGTGTAATAGCAATCTACTACTGAAACCCTCATGAGCATCAACATATATTATTCAATACATAAATATTTATTTTAGAAAATATATTTGATAAAAAATTCGAAATTTTTCAAATTTAAAATATATTAAATATTTTATATTATTATTTTATATTTATATTTGAGTGTAAAACTCAGGCACTATAAATAAATTTATTTTAAAATTGTATTTATACAAATACGTTAATTTTACCTGATAAATTAATTAAATGAAATCATGGAATTCTCAGGGAATTTATTTAAGATTAGAGTATACACTCTGATGAAAGGAAATGTAAAAATTTTAAAAAATTGATTTTCTTTTTGACAAATTAAATAATTTAAAATAACGAAGATTTTTTAATATTATGTTATTTCACACATTTTTAAATTTGTTTTTTTATCTTATGGTTGTTTTTATAGACATGTCGGATTTGAAAAAGAATTTCTCAGATCTCAATTTTATTATTTATTAATCTTATTTAGTAAAAAAAGTTATTTAAAAAATTATAATCTTATTTATTTAAAAAAACTAATTTATAAAAAAATTATCAAAATTTTAATATAATCTTCAGTAATTTCCGATCAATACATTAGATGCAGATTTGATTTTATTATATCTTCACTCAAGAGCTAGAATTCGCAAACAAAATAGCGTGTATCTGATATATCTTTGATCTCTACGAGTAAAATCATTTATTAAACGCGTAGAAAATTTAATCTCGAGTGCATTTCATTTTTCTTAATAGACTTTTACGTTCCAGCGTAACCCCATTTCGTTTCATGTCACGCGCCTTCGGTTTGTACCCTAACGATCCACAATGGCCTATACAATCTGACGATAAATTATGAGCTTACAGCTGGACATAGGTGTGGTAGCGGGATACAGACTAGTGTCGGCTGTTGAATTCGTGAGAGGCGAGCTCGCTCTCGGCGGGCTAGGCACTTCTAGATTAACGTCCACCCAGTCGCTGGGATGAAAGGGCCTGTCCACGGAGTCTATGCTGCGTCCCCTCGTGAGCACCTCCCTCGGTGGAGAGCCGGCGTATCCTATTTCGGAGCTAAGCAGAAAACATTAAGTGAGAATCGCTACTTTCCCCTCTGAGATGCACTATCGATGATGCGCCATCGAACGTATATATACACCTAACACGAAATGATATCGAATTTAATACGTGTAATCGATCACCGTGCGAGCGCGCCATTAGATTCCGTGGAAATCCATCACGTATGTGGTGATATGTCTCGCCAATTTCACTTCCTCTTAGCTCCTCCCGCATCAATACGCGAATAATTAAAAAGAAGTGCATCAAAAAATTCATGTTGATAAATATATGTTTGAAAAACAAGCTGCAATCTTTCTTCTTGAAACGGATTTTCATAAACAAAGATATTAAAATGTATAGTTTCCGAGCTACGATTGATTTAATTAAGGAGAAATTTTTAAAAAATCATATTTCAGAGATATCAGTGAATAGATGACACGGATGTAGATAATTTTGCCACTGATAAAATTTAAATCTGCAACATTTTTTCAAGCACAATTTTTCTTAATTATTAAATAATATATATTTATATATTTATATATTATTATATAAAATATATACTCCTGGGCAAAATTAACGCATAATTTTTTTTCACTTTTTCTTTAAAAGCTGATATTTAAATTTTAACGAAACATTTTAAAGAAAAAATGAAAGAAAAAAATATGCATTAATTTTGTCCAGGAGTATATATTAAATAATATATATTTGTATATGTGTCAGTGAATAGATGACACGGATGTAGATAATTTTCCCACTGACAAAATTTAAATCTGCAACATTTTTCTTAGCACAATTTTTCTTAATTATTAAATAATATATATTTATAATATATACTTCTGGACAAAATTAATGCATAATTTTTTTTTTACTTTTTCTTTAAAAGCTGATATTTAAATTTTAACGAAAAATTTTAAAGAAAAAATGAAAGAAAAAAATTATGCGTTAATTTTGTCCAGGAGTATATATTAAATAATATATATTTGTATATGTGTCTTTATCGTATTGAAACAAAATCCAAATGAAATCACATCCAAATGAAATCAAATCCTGTTGTTTAGATGTTGTTAATCTAAGCCGAGGGAATTTTCACGAGAAAAAACGGGATGAATCTGCATGAAAAATGGCTACGGGGGAGCAAACCTGGACGCATTCGATCGTTAATTCTGTGCCAGATTCGGAATAATTCATGCTCATCAAAAACTACAGCTCGATGCACCGAAATAATCCGAAATCGTTGCGATGCAGCGTAGCTTATATAAGGTTTATCGCAAATGCATTTCGTGTTTCTTCGCGTCCCCTGAGCTATAACTCTTTCGAGACGCGAAACATTACTGGAATTTCTCTCATACAGCCACCTCCTCGCGCACGAGAGTGCCTTTCAACTTTGTACAGAATATCCCCGATGCACGCGAACGATTTGGAAATATCCACAAAGAAGGGAATTCCATTGGTCTCGCCAGAGTATTTTTTATCAGTGATTTATTTACATTGAACTAACATCAAATGAAGCACAAAATATCTAGTTTCACTAGATGCAATGAAAGATGAGTCACTACGCATCTTTTCCAAATTAAATGTTAATAATAAATCACTGTAAAAATAATAAAAAATTTACAGAGAAATATAGATTCAGAAATATTAATTCTAGCTAATTTCTGAATTTATTAAAATATATTTATTAAAATATATTTTTATACAGATAATAAAGAATTTAAAGAAAAGAGTTTAATTCCAGCCAATCTTTTTCTGTATCTTTTCATCTATTTTTGCTAGAATTATTAAACCGGGAATGATAACAAATCAATTCACCTTTTAATATAATTACTACAAACTTGGTAAATAAAAATCACTTAAAACAATAATGATAAACTTGAAGAGAAATCGAATTTTTCATTACTATCGAAACAAAATGCTATGAATAACTGATTAATCGATATTCTGTACTTTATGAATATCAATATGTGAGTATGATTGCTCTCGACCTACACCAACGACTCTGTAACAGCCTATGACACGTTTATTTGCTGTGTTAACCCGCGCACGTACATACGAGCCGATGCAGCGTAATTTATGCCACGGCGTGCGCGAATAATTTACGCGAAATCCTCATTTTCGTTGTTCTTGCGGGCTCAAGTGAATTAAAATTCACGTTGTCGAAATAATTCGTGCCACAGGCATATTATTACAAACATATCTCTCTGTTGTATGCGAGCTCTGTCAGAGTAGATTTATATAAAATCTGCATATTTTCAATGCTATATGAACGTGATTATTAATACGCGTTTCAATCAGCTATTTTTCACATTCAATTTGCATAACGTCAAAAGATTCATTTATTGATGCGATTTACTGACAACGCTTCGCGAATACAACGTTTCGCAATTTCTTGCCAATAATTATCGAAGTGATCGGTGAAAAGCTATTACGATAAACACACAGCTCTCCGTCCCTTAATTTCAGCACTAACGCGAAAATAAACAGTACTATTTGCGTCGTTAATTACAATCTGATGATAAACACTGGTTCAGCGTCAGACAGTCTAACAATATTCTGAAGGATATCTTGTCAGTTATGAAATTGTTACAAAATTACCGCGTTGCAATTTTACAACATGTGCTCGTCTCCTTCATTATGCGAAATGCGTTCATTGTTAAATTTTATCAAAATGAGCCTCCGCTGATGCAGGCAGACATTGACAATTATTTTACACTACGCCATGTGTAATTCTGAAAAATCTCTTTCAATTAAATCTCCTGTTATATCCCTAAGTTTTTGATGCAATTAAAAAAAGATTTTTTATTATTTCGTAAATAAAAATATTTATTTCAATAGAAATAAAGATCCTGACATATCTCTCTGCTAAAATATGTATCATAGTGCATATAATATTAATAGAGATGAATATTTTATTATTAAAATTTAGTTCTCAATCAATGATAGAATCAACGATGTAGCTTTAATATTTGATATTGATATAAATGATATAATAAGATATTTTAGTATAGCTTAAAATACTTTGATATGTCGGAAATAGAGCTTGGGAAAAGCACGCGTTATCGTAAAATCTGTAGAGGATCTATAAGATATTTACAAGCTCTATGTACACCTACACAAGTGCAAATGCTCACGTACTGTAGATTGTAATGCGATATGATAGGAATGCTTGTGTAACTGTACGATATGTTTGACGACAATAAATTAGAGATATTAATTGCGAGGCAGCGAGCCAATCACCTGATCGTTACCGGTCAAGTTATCGATCGGTTTAATCGGCCTCTCAGCGAGACAAAAAAATCTAATTGAAGTGGTTGCGGATAGAGTTGTGGAAAAAAAAAGAAAGAAATTCTCCAAGAGAAAGTAGATTTCTTTGAACACGTGTAATTAAAGTATGGCACATTCTATAGTTCTCGCGAGATATGTATAACGCGTTATAAACTACTTGCCTCGCACGTGGTTCATCCAGATTCCTAGAAAGATTACTGAGATTAATGTATGCTATTTATTATCGGGGGATTCGAAGTGTGTTATCGTACACTTCTCTCTGCGAAGATTACTAAGCAGATATATCTCAGAAGCGGAGAACATTGTAAATCCAAAAACTCATTCCTTTTTTTTTTCAGAAAAAGCGCAAGATCCAGATTTTCTATTTTTCACATAAATTAAATACACGCTTTCCGCATAAAATAATTAAATAAATGCAAAGATATTAGACAAATTGAAAAATATCGTTTTTCATGTGTTTGCCCGAATAGATTTTATTGTACGCAATAAAATCTGTTCAGACATGAAGATTACTAAGGAGATATATCTCAGAAGCAAAGAACATTGTAAATCCAAAAACTCATTCCTTTTTTTTTTTCAGAAAAAGCGCAAGATCCAGATTTTCTATTTTTCACATAAATTAAATACACGCTTTCCGCATAAAATAATTAAATAAATGCAAAGATATTAGACAAATTGAAAAATATCGTTTTTCATGTGTTTGCCCGAATAGATTTTATTGTACGCAATACAATAAAATCTATTCAGACATGAAGATTACTAAGGAGATATATCTCAGAAGCAGAGAACATTGTAAATCCAAAAGTCATTTTTTTTTTTTTTTTTTTTTTTCCAGAAAAAGCGTAAGATCCAGATTTTCTATTTTTCACATAAATTAAATACACGCTTTCCGCATAAAATAATTAAATAAATGCAAAGATATTAGACAAATTGAAAAATATAGTTTTTCATATGTTTGCCCGAATAGATTTTATTATATGAAATACAGTAAAATCTATTCAGACATGAAGATTATTGAGGAGATATATCTCAGAAGCGGAGAACATTGTAAATCCAAAAGTCATTTTTTTTTTTTCAAGAAAAGCGTAAGATCCAGATTTTCTATTTTTCACATAAATTAAATACACGCTTTCCAAATAATTAAATAAATGCAAAGATATTAGACAAATTGAAAAATATTACTTTTCATGTGTTTGCCCGAATAGATTTTATTGTATGAAATTTTAATGATTTATTTCTTCATGAGTTTTACTGTATTTTTATTACAAATAACAATTCAGTTTACTTACTTTTTATTCCGTAGCTGAAGTTTATTTTCCTAATTACATCAAAATAATGTGAGATTCATTCTCTCTACTTTCTTATTAGGCGGCTTTCTTAGATATACACGATAGTTTTTACACTTTTGCATCTGAGAGACGTTCTACTGACCTTAAAAAGAAATCGGTAGAACGAAGCGTAGGATGAGAGCTAAAGCCACCGACCCACGCTCGATCATCGTTTTGTGGATTCACTGTCACGCGGCCTAAAAGCTGTCTGAATATGGGATAAACCTGTCACGCGGCGTAGATCCTTTTCCACGATAACGAGAGAACCAGGGGACCAGCATCCTGCTCGCAATGCATCGCGCATTTTACATATAACATTGCATAATGTTCGAATTTCAAAAATATTGGTTATCGAAATTTATAGTCCCTCCTCCTCGCAATTGATACATTATGATAATTGGTGCATTATGATAATCTCATTTAACCGAATCGAGAATCGTGTTATCGCAATAATTTCCCTAAAATAATTATGATAGTTATATTAAGTTGATAATAAATTATATATCACATTTTTCTTCTATTTCAATTATTTTTACTGTATTAATTATTTTCAAAATATAATTTTAAAAAGTATTGCATAAAGAGAAATAAAGAAAATAGTTCTTCTTTCTCCATAAAAGAAATAAAATCCAGTTTGTGATCAATATATAAAAAAAATAACCGAAATTATGTATCAAGTAATATCTGTGAAGCTAATATTTATTTGAAACACAAGCTAATGTCTAGATGAAAGTAAGGAAATAAAAATTATCCCATGAGGATCATTAGGTGGCACTTATGTCACTTGATTATCTCTTAAGATTGATAAATTGATTATAAGACTCATAAGTACCGTATCGATAATGTAATTTCCAAAAAAATGGCAAAGCAGAAATAAAATTGCGTTATCGTGTGCGAACCGTTCGCCACTCGCTAACACGAGAATGTGACCATTTAAGGTTCAGCTCGCCACCTCTCTACCTCTCGATTCATTGTCAAGTTAGGTTCACCTTCGATGATGACGCTTACGCGCTCGGTCGTTTAGATTTCACTAGAAAGATGTTGCCGTGGCACCAGGAAATTGCGTTCTTTCCTCTTTATATGTGATATATCATGCTTTATTGCGCAATCGACAGAAGACCATAATCATGATAGCGCGTATCTCTAATACGTGCCAAAGATAGTGCCATTTATTTTAATTACACGATATATCTACCTACTCTCTACTTGAGTAGTTTTAATATTTCGTCATTTATTACCGCGGAAGAAATTGTCTATTTTATAAAGTACACGTTTATGTGTTTAATTATATTAATAAAAGAAAAAAAAAGAAGATAAAGCGACAGATACAAAAAATAATGCTTAAAATAAATATACGAGTAGTTGCAAATATTTACTTTATTCGATTATGGATGATTAATGTAAAATAATTTATACTTGTACGTTAATTTTATTTGAAATAATTAATAGATTTCAAAAATGATTCAAAACTGAATATCCTACATATTACTCTTTTAAGATTTTAAATAATCAATTAATTATTTGTTTTATAAGATAAAACTGAAAATGTTTGTAAAATATTTTTACAAATTTTTATTTATTCCATTTATTTTTTTCTTATGTTTTTTTGCTTATTTGTTTGTTCATTAAACTGATAAGTTATTAAGTCTATTGTTTCAAATTAGCAGATTTTCTTTTCAGGTTTTGTTAAATTAAATTACAAAATAACTATTAAATTAAATTAAATAATAAACTATTAAATAATAAACTATTAAATAATAAATATTATTATAAAATTGCTATTAAATTAAAAAATAATATTATTTTTTAAATAACAGAGTATTTGTGTTTTGTCACTTTACTAATTATTTGCTATACTTAATGCATTTAAATAATATTATATATACACAATTTGCATTTTTGAAAATCTTCCAAATATTATTTCGAGTAAAAATTTTCAACATTTTACTTACATTATTGTTTTAATTAATAATTCTAATTAATAACATATTAAATTAATATTTCCCATTTTATATATATACTTGTTTGTATTTTATATTTGTACTTATTATTTTCATATGAAAAATAAATTTTCAAGTAATATTTTTAGATTTATAATATATATACATTTAAATAATTTTATTTTAAATAATTTTATTTTTATGCACATAGAATAAAATTATTTTAAATTTATGCAAATATGTTCACCATAGAAAAGTATAGTTTTTGTACTGAACATTTCAAGATAGATTGAAAGTGGATACGTAACACGATTACTTGTCCATTAGACTAACAAGCCATTAAGCCCATTGTTCGGGGTTCAAATTAGCAGGTCTTCTTTCATAAATTCTCTTGTACTACATTTTCTGCGTGTAAATATACCTGTGACGACACATATACGATTACATCAATCACATTAACACAATTTTTTAACGGGTCAAACGAAGGGACAGCTACCGTCACTTTCTATCAACTCGGTAATAGAATCTCTAGAATTAATAAGGTCGCATGAATTATATTCCCCTAACCGATCTCTAAATCATCTCCTGTCCGCAATTAACGGCAACGATGATGCGCGCTCTTGGCAATAACCGTGAGCGAAATTACTGCGACGTGTGACTCTTAAAAGCAACGGTGAAATCCTGTTATTTGTAGCCGATGTAACTCGCGGCTTTTCACGACTTTTCACGACTCGTAATCGCGAAATGTGCGCGAATAAGATTCGAAGAGGAAAAAAAGAAACGCGCGTACCTCGTAACTCTTTGCGTAGCACCTCCTAAAACCGAGCCCTCCTCTTTTAAACTTGGATAAATCTGCAACAGAAGTAAACATGAATGTTATTCGCCGTTCTACATCTCCATGAAAGTTCAGATGGAGAATAAAGAATGCTATTTTCACCGGTAATCAAATGGATACATATTCCCATAATAAGTAACATATAAGACATTATGAGAGAAAAGTAGAAATATTATATAAATATAATAAATTATATAATAAAAAATATATACTCTTTAAAAATATTTGTATGTGAAAAGAGGGAAGTAAAATGACTTGAAAAATTCTTAAAGTCTGAATGAATTGATATCTAAAAGGAATTATGTACCGATTTATATTTTTAGAAATTAGATTTTTAGAAATTTTTAGAATTTATTTTAGAAAATTTGAACAATATTTTGAATAATATTTTGACATTCTATCTAATGTATCTCTATTTATTTAATATATATCTAAGATTCTAGACATTTTCTATCTAAAATGCATCATAAAAACGTTGATCAAATATTATAAATATTTGCTTAAATATTGTTATAAATATTTATTTTATTATAAAACAAATTGTAGTTTAATAGCAACATGATGAGATGAAATAGTTGTGCAAGATTTTAAGACAAGGTTACTCGTTGCCTCGCTTAAAGCATCGTCGAGAATTAATAAGTTATTAACAACATAATTACTTCGACGAGACCTTATGTCGAGAGAATGCGAGGACAATTCTCTAGGCGGGTGTTGAGACGCAAGATGGATGGATGAAGAATCGATCGCATAGAGAGCCGATTAAGCTAATTCGCATTACTTGGCTCATCGGCTCGTTTATTCGGCCGAAAATCATAGGTGCAAGAGAATGCGCTCCATCGATTTGCCATCGCATAAACTCATTTTTTCCACTTGCAGTTTATTAGTCATCCGTAAATATCCAGTGAAAAAAATTGTTACGTGATTTTTTCTTTTTATTATTAAATAATCTCTAATTATTTAGAAACAAATGTATTTTTCTAAAAATAATAAGTTGTTATGCTTAAGAAAATTAAAATTAAAAAATTTTGCTGAGCCTCGTTTTTCGTGCAAAAAAAAATTAATTTAAAAAATGAGATTTTTTCATTAAAATATTACGAAAAATGTACTTGAATGAAACGAAACCTACCTCCTCAAAAAATTTTAGACAAGCACAAGTATTTCAACGATGTACGCATTATAACTTGAAAATTGCAATCTATATTGAATGTAATTAGTATTCAATTATCGTTCTCTCTGTATGCAATTAGTATCAGTTCGCTATAGAATCCTACTCTTATTAATTTCTCGCTAGGATTAAGAGTTGTTAATAAAATTAGAATCATGTCCGTTAATATACATACATAAAGTAGAGTTAATTTAAATTCTAAATTTAGATTCTCTCTCTCTCTCTCTAAAGTATATACAAGGCCTAAGTAAATAATTCGTAAAAAAAATATCAATAAAAAAATTATATTTCTAAATTAATTTATAATTAATTATTTTTTAATCTTAATTTTTTTTAAATTATTTTTAAATCTTAATTTTTTTTAAATCTTAATTTAACGCTTGTAGAAATAGAAAAGAAACGATTGAATAAACTTAACGGAAATACACTGCTTGGTCCCTGACACTCTTATTGAAGAATTGCACAATCGACGGGCATCCTGTGCGAATCGCGTTGCATAATACTCTTTGTATTCTCACGGGAAACACGAAAACACGATGGCGTGCAAAAGGTGCGAGTAAGCAAACTCGATACTGCTCCGTCGACTTTACGATCGGCCTTCAACTACGAGATATCCCAGGTGATTCGTTCATAACGTGTCGGACATTCTCAGCACATCGAACAATTATTCCTACGCGAATCAATAGTACGCCGCGTATCTAAACCTATACACGAGATCCAGTTAACGCTTTATATGAAAGCATAAAATATTTTCTAAATCAAATTTTACATGTTTCAGAATTAAATGTTCTAAATTGAAACGTGAATTTAGAACAATTATCAGCAAATAAAAAATTCTTCTACAGATATTTTTGCAACGCATTAAATAGAGAAACTTTCTAAAAAATTCTATATAAAAAATTCTATATAAAATTTTTTTAAACCTATTTTTAAAATGATTTTACCATTAGGTTATTTTTAAAAATAAAACAAAATTGGAAATAATTTATCCCACTTTTCGTAGGAAGATTGAGGCAATCATTTGACTATCGAAAAAGTAGGATAAATTATTCCGATGTATAGATAGAATAATGGTACTATTTCGAGCGCTCCATTTGTTCGATTTGGCTACATCAAGGAAGGGGAAAAAAAAAGAAGCGGAAATCGGTACATGACGCTATACGAAGGTCGTTCGCTTCACGCCACAATGATTTTGGCAATTAGAACGCGCCGGTCGACCACGAATGCTATTTCTCGCCAATTTTATCCGAATTCGAGAATACGAGTAGACACCAATTCCTTTTTTTATTTACGCGGCTATGTGTGAAACCCCATCAGGTGTATCTAAAACGTCCATTTGCGATGAGTACTCGATGGAAACACCTTAATTTCCTCAGTTCCGAACATCCAAATCGCATAATTTAAATTTTATTGTACACATACACACTCTCTCTCTCTCTCACAGTAAGTTATTAGCCCTTGAAACTCTCGGCAAATTGGAACAACAAGTTAAAACTCGGTCCGTAATAGGCAAGGGCCGATATGCGATACAATTTCAACGTGATACAGATACGTTGTAGCTGACGTGGCAAATAATAGGGCGTTAACGAGATTAGCAGGATGAGAGGAGCGTCCCCTCGCATCGATCTCACGACGAGACATAGTGTGATGTTATTTTCCCTACACACATATATATATATATATATATATATATATATATTTTTTTTTTGTATATATATGTGTATATTGTATATATATATATATATATATATATATATATATATATATGTGTATATGTGTGTGTGTGTGCGAGATGTGGTATGAACAACCCTTTGGAAATCGTACACGTGTCACGCGCGCGGAACGTTCCTACGGGCGCGGTTTACATTGCAAATTCGTTGGGAAACTTCTCGCGGACGACACGTTGCCAGCGTGAGTCTGTCTCTCTTTCTCTCTCTCTCTCTCTCTCTCTCTTGGTGTACAAAAGTTATTTTACCGATTAAATTACGACCTGCGAAGCTAGCTGCCACTGTCCGGTAGCATTGTTTCGACGGTGTTGCTCGGGAAACACACTCGGCGAAGTCCCTCGGGATTATTGTACGACTACTACCACTTGCAAAAGTATGCATTGATGATACATCGATGATACATCGCAGATATCGTTTGTTTGCAAGGAAACACGGTTGGAGAATTCGAAAGATGATTCGACAAATTACACAGTAAAAAATAAAATGTTAATTTTAACATTTTTCACACGTCCCAGAAAGTTCACTCTAAATTTTAAGTTAAAGTAACTCATTCGTCGTATGTTATTTATTGACAAACTAAAAATGTTAAATAATTGACACGATACTTTACATTTATTTTTGTTATTGTGACTTTAAGTGTAATGTAAAAATAACATACAAATTAATTAAAAGTTACATGAAAAAATAGTTACAATAGCTTGTAAGAAATGTTGAGGATATTAACATATAATAGTGATTATTTTAACTTGAATTATTTGTAATAGAAACATTTGATTTTAATAAATTTGATTATTTTGTGTCAAAGTTCAAGACTATTTGAAGATTCACTTTAATTTTTCCTAGAACGTTAAACTGATTTTGAGACATGTTGATTGTTTAAAATGATTACCTTAAAATAATATTCCATTTCTAAGAGACATATACAAAGTGTTAAGTTATGAAGTTGACATAAATGTAACACGTGAAAACGTTATAAAAATAATAACATATAGATTGAATGTTAATTTTACATTAAAGTACTAATCAAAACGTGGTAATACAAGAAAATTTTAACGCACAATTTTTCACTGTGTAAAATCACTATTTCTTTTCAAGGTGTCTATTATGGAAAAATATAGAATTTTCACAGATTTTTTTTGTACCTTAAAAAGGGAATTTTATTGGGACTCTGAAAAGAGAATTTCTTTAAAAAATGCTATCTTTTTGATAAGTTTGCTCTTGTATTGTAAACAGTCGGCAAGCCAAGTAAATTATACATGTTAAAATATATATCTATCTTTATTTATATATTCAATATCTTAGTAAAGTATTGAATAAATACTATATATTGTTTATTGTTATTTTCAGTAATGAAAAAATTATATAAGTGAAAAATGCTTATCTTATTAAAGTATTCTTTTTTCTTCAACACGTTTATGCAAATCTTGAAATTTAAGAGACTCTGTTTTTTCCTTATATAAATGAGAAATATTAGAAAACGTATACAAAATAAAAAACTTATTTTTAAAAAATATTTTCTCTATCTGAAATTTTGAATAAAAATACTTGGAAGATTGAGGAATTTTTAGGGAACTTTTCGGCGAAATTCGAGTAAACAATCCACTGTTCTAAATTTTACCGCCTTATTGTTAAATAAATATCCTTCGTGTGAACTAAATCTTTGATCAATATTCGTTAAATTAAGCAGAATATGATGAGAACTTTTATGTAATTTGTATGAGAAGAACTGAATTTCGCATCGATGTGCGAAAAGGTGCAAATTTCCCTAGCGAAATAAAACAAGTTTTGTATGCCACGGTTGAGATTTACAGTTTGCAAAAGCATTTTACATATAGCAGCTGCGAATGTTAATGCGATAAGAAGTTGAGACCTGAGCGTGAAATCCGCGCAAATTGCGACAACTGTTATTACCAAAGTTTTACACACCTCCGTGACAGTGGGCAATTTTCTGGGTTTCTGCACAAATATCTAATGTAACTTTCACTATCTATTAATAATACAGTAGTGTAGGTCGATCGGCCAACGTCTCTCTGTGAAGCTGCGACTGAATCGGTGAAGCGATTGTTTCGCAAGGCAACTAATCAAATGTGATAATTACGAAATTTTTTTAAATTGAATTATATAA